CTTTCTAAACATATATTATTGCCAGAATAATATTGACAGTCACAACAAACAACTATAATACCACGAAAAATACAATGTTCTAGTGTGGAAGTTTAAAAAAAAAATATATATATATAGTACCATCATATTAAATACACTACATCATGTACAATTTCAGTTCGCTCCATCGTAAGTAATTGTAGAGAAAAGAAATTTGAGTTAGTTTGTAATTAAATATTATTTTATTGTCGACTCGGGCAGGATTTCGATATTTTTTATAGATTATGTGAATAAAGTGAGTAATTTGAATTTATATCGCAATTTACTGCATTTAAATAATAAATTAAAATAATACTTATGCAACAATACATAACGAGTGATATTGATATATTTTAATCAGCTTTATTAAAAGTTGTAATACATAAATAATATTGAAATTGATATTTAATCGGAGTAATTAATTTGGTTATTATTGTAATTCTAAGTGTAGAAATTCAATTTCAGTAGGATAAAAGTTCGATACAATGGCATAATTAAATTCATTTATTTTGTGAAGTCAAGTGCACTCCAATATTATATTCTTTACTTTACAAAAATTATTAATATTTTGATTTTAAGTGTACGTTAGTTCTTCTTAATACCACGTTTAACATTAATATCGTTATAATTTAAATTAAATATTTAATTATAAATATATATATGAATATTTAAAATTTATAATCCGCATATATTTAATTCTTATGGGCTTACATACGAAGTGTAAAATTAATGATTTAACCACTGATATAATGTTTTAATACTAAAACTATTGCACGTCACTGCAGAAGTATCGTTAACTACACACCTAATCGGATTAAAAAGGCATGAAAATATTAAATTAGAAAGGAAAAGATATGGCATTAATGTAAAAAGAAAAATAGAAAAAAAAATAGAAAAAAAACCCATGGGTGTTTTCATAGTTACTGCGCAGATATATTTGAAATTTGTAAGAAGCTATTGGGCAAAGCCAATATCTTCAGAAATATGTGTGTCTGTCACTACGACGAACGACATGAAGTTCGCCATCACGGCAAACGAAATGATAATTATAATAAATAATATAGCTTCAATGCTTTTTTCTTTATAAGACGAGTATCAGTGATTAGTTATCTAATTATTGGCATGTCTTAATCATTCTGACATCATCGTACAGGACATTAAAATTATCCTCGCATGATTTAAATAGCTTTTAAGGAGTCAGTCGGTTGCCCTCGACCTGTCCACTCTGCAAAACATCGTTCAATCAGTATTTTATTCAATCGTAGTGCTCTTCTGCACTATCGTGTCTTTGTTCATTTTTTTTCTTTCATATGCACGACGAGTCGAGTAATCCCTCGTCACAAATATCCCCACCCCCTCCCGTCACCCACGATTCCAAACAATTAAAATTCCAGCGTAAATGATCGCGGGAGGGCCGTTCGCTACGTCGGGCGCAAACCAAACGACTTAATATATTCGCAGCTTAGCATTGGAAGGGTGTGAGTGAAGGGCCAAGGCATTAAAGCTCGCCAAAGGTCGCAATTGCGCGATCCGTTGTCATTATTCGTTTCTTCCTTTGTTCGTTGGTCGTGTGTGGGGAGACGTCTCGTCCGCCGCTCGTCCAGACCCGCGAATAGCATGCGATAATAATGGCAAAAACGGCATCATCGGCATCATCGACATCATCGACATCATCGACATCATCGACATCATCGACATCATGGCCCTTGTAATGGACTAAGAGCGACGTTAATGGCATTCACGAGGGGTTGCCGTCGCGACGCCGCGCGAATCTCGCGTTTCGGCCCGGATGAGCGCGTGTAATTACATTGGAGAAAAGCCCGGCGAGCAATTTATTCGAGGCGCGCCGAAGCCTTGAACTTCTCGCCTTATTTGCCGAGCTCATCGGCGGCGAATTTTTACTAAACCTACGCGCTCGACGCCGTGGCGCAGCTTCGGCCGTTAGGTCTAGCGTCTCGAGGCGAGGCGATTGAAATTTTCCATCCCAACGAATGCCCGACTGTCCTCT